CCTGCTTCTCTTTCCCCGGTTCCATTAAGGGTTGCAGCAATGCCGATATTTTGAATAATACAAATATGACACCTGCTCCATTCACATGTCCAGAAACACGGAGTCTGTTTAGAACAGCTAACTCCCAATTATTTTTCAAGTTTCATATCAATCAACTCTAAGCAGCATGCAGAACTTGCCCGATAGGATTAACGTGCTCCCAGAGTGTCCCCTGCTTGCCCCCTCACAATCCTGCTCTGCTTCCCCTGCTTTTCATCACACCACCACCAGTTTTACTTGCCTCTAGCTTATCTTACAGGTTGCTACATAATATTTGACCCATGCAGATTATTAAACACAATTTGCTTAAAAGGAAAAATACTATCAAAATGATTTATGTGGTATTATTTTATTGTTAACAAAGAAGTGTGTTTCACTTGAGTACTTTCTACATATTATTCTAGTCATTTTTAATTTCCATCTTCATACATTTTCAAAATCTAGAGCATAGATTTCATTAATTTACAAGGGAAAATACGGGAAACTCATTTGAATAGCCTCAAACTAACAAATAAGATAAATGAAATACAAGAATAAGGGAAGATTTTCTGTCAAGGCTATAATTAACTATTTGGACAAGCTTTTCATTTGGGACTGTCACTTTGGAATAATGATAAACTCCATGATGCATGTGGAAATTTTGACACTCAATGACACATGTACGACAATGAAATGTCAACTTTCCTTCTGGTAATGTTGATTACAGTCAACTCATCACCAGTCTTTCTGTATGTCTATATTTATCACTTTGACTTATTTATTTGTTTATTTGTTTTTAAAGATTTATTTATTCTTACTGGAAAGGCAGACACACAAAGAGGAGGAGGAGAAACAGAGAGGAAGAACTTATGTCCGTTGATTCACTCCTCAAGTGGCTTCAACAGTTGGAGCTGAGCTAATCCGAAGCCAGGAGCCTCTTCTAGGTCTCCCACACAGGTGCAGGGTCCCAAGGCTCTGGGCCGTCCTTGACTGCTTTCCCAGGCCACAAGCAGGGAGCTGGATGGGAAGCCAGGCTGCTGGGATTAGAATCAGTGCCCATATGGGATCCTAGCGCATCCAAGGCAAGGACTTTAGCTGCTATGCTATCGTGCTGGGCCCAATTTGACTAATTTTATTATTTCTTTGATATTGTGTTTTATTTCCCCACATAAATACATATATATATTTCATTTATATTCAATATATAATATATTGAACATATTAAATATTAATATATATATACTCCAATTATAGATTAATACTTACATAATGATAGATCTGATAGCCCAGATGTTTACAAGTGACTAATGGGAGGGCAGTGTATTCAGTGTGGAAGGCTGATAAATGGGTAGGGGTGGAGGTAAGAAGAATGAGCAGGGTTCTGTTAGCCTAAGGGAGGATGGGATCCTGCCGTGTTCAAGGCGAAGACTTTAGCGGCTAGGACACGACGCTGGGCCCTGGTTTTCTTCAACTTTTAAACACCAGTGAAAACCAAATATTATTTGTTCTTTGACATTTGGCCTGCTTTCCAAAAGTTATATCTTCTTTCTTTTATAACATAGATTATCAGTATAGTTCTCCTTTATAAACACTTCAAGTCCAAAGACACATCCTGATTCAATGCAGGGGGTCCAAACAGGAATCTCCATACATGAACAAACAGATCAATCGATCAATCAATAATGTGGGCAGTATTTTGTGAAGCTTATGGAATTGGGTGTTTATCGATTAAAAACTCTTCCTCTTTCCATCCTGATATGTGTGACTCAAACAACGTGTTGGCAGATCCATGTGTAAGTCTGTCCTGCATTGCTAAGTTGCGCTCCTTGGAGCAAGGCTCGCACAATCAAAGATCAACCAGCCTGCATCAAGGGGTGATGGGCAAATCTGTTCACCCGAGCCACTTCTCCAAGCAGAGGACTCCATCTGCACCAAGCGTGAAGACACCATGGATTTACTGAGGGAGGGCATGATGACAGCTGGCTCCGTTCCACAGATTGGACTTCAAGTCTCTGGTCTTTGGAGATCTCTCAAAACGTCCGCGCTCGATTTCCGCATCTGTAACACGGCCAGGATGACCCAACACAACAGTCTCAGGGCCAAATGCGGCGATTCCAAAGAAACGTGCGATAAACCTTCCACCTTCTGTACAGAAATGCTCATTATGTAACAGATGGTAACAATTGTGTTATCTTCTTAAATTATCTTAGTGATTTTTGAACAGTTTAAGTTCGCTTTGAAAGATCAGGCTTTCAGAAATTGGAAACAAGCTCCCAAGCTCTTCAGTGACTAGGATTCTGGGCAAATGCTGAAGTTACACACATCGCAGGAGACTTTTCTCCGCTGTGGCCTTAGAAGGTCATTGGTTGTGGTCTTGGGGGTGGGGGGAGGTGATTGTTTGGGCTGGTGATAATTCCGCTGGCTCCTTGAATGGTTGTATCCCCTTTTGGTACCAGTACCGACCTCCGGGCCCTTTCTTCCTCAACCCTTCTGTGCCTTAGAGCGTTTCCTCTGCTCTCAGACCCGTCCAGGGCCCCTGGGGGGACAGTGTCGGCAGTGCCACCCTCCCTCTCCGGCTTGGGACACCTCTGCCCACCCCTGTCCCCCCGCGCGGTCCCCGCGGCGGCCCCGAGCGCGGCGCGCCACGGCGCAGGCTCCGCGGCCCGAGCAGGCGCGTCAGCCCCGGTGGTGGCGCGGGCTGCGGGGACGCGGCTGTCCCAGCTCTGCAGCCACCGCACACCCCCCAACCGCAGCCACAGCCACCTCGCCCCGGCGTCGCGGCCATCTGGGCTGGCGGCTGCGGGCGGCACGCCTCCGGGTAAGCGCTGGGGCGCCCGGAGGGGACGGAGGGTCGCGGTGGCCGGGGCGGTGGCGCGCTCGGGGGCCGGGCAGGGATGCCTCTGCGCAAAGAGCGGGACAAGCCCGGGTGGCGGGGAGCACTGCGGGATGCGGGGCCAGGCGGCCAGGGCAGCCCTGCGCGGAGGAGGGCGCGGGCGGAGCGGGGATGCTGCGGGCCTGGCCCAGGCGAGCGGGCGGTGCACGGCGGGCGGGCGCAGGGCCGGGGTCAGGAGGGGACGCGAAGGTGCCAGGGAACGTTCCTGGCGTGGCTTGGGAAGATGTCCCAGTCAGTGCAGCTGTCCCCCCCAGGCAAGACGTGGGAAAGCTGAATGAAGATGGGAAACAGAGCGTGGCATTTTCTCCTTGTCTGCCCCTTGGGACCTTTATTACGGGCCTGCCAATGTTCTTGGGGAAGGAGGTGAAGGTGGGACAAGTACCTGATGCTTGCTGGGGGGCAAAGGTGTCTGGCAGCAGGTGCCTCTGCGGCAGAGGGGTAAGAGAGCTTGGCCAGGGATGCCAGTTGGCAGGGGCTCTCGTGAGCCCCTCTTGCTGCCTTTAGACTAAAAAATCCACGGAGAAGCCCTTCCGGCTTGCCTTGATGTCGAGGCTGGGTTTGTTAAGGACAGCCATGGGCTGCGGGATAAAGAAGGGTGAGATGGCAATTCAGTTAACATGGAGCGATATGGCAGGTCTTTTACTTTGCAGAGGACAAGGGAAAAAAAATTTTTTTTTTTAATTTGGAAATGAAGGATACAGAAGAGCCTCACATTTCAGTTTTGACCGATGCCAGAAAGCATTTTAAGTACATCAAACTCTGTGGCAAGAATGTGATTCCCCTTTAAGCACGAACCATGTTATTGGCATGTCCCAAAGATTGATTGAGAGTGTGACCTCGGCTGTGTTATTTCATAGGCTGTTACCTAGAACTTCTGGTGTAATCTGTTGGATGAGACACCTTAGCATAGCGTAAAGGTGGGGAAGCTAAGAAGTAAAATGAATATGCGCCTTTTGGGGAAGGTAAAAAGTACCTGGCAGGTTTAATTTAAAACAGTGACACCAAACTTTTTTCTTTCAGGTCTTTAAAACTTGAAACTGGGTTTCCAATAGCATACTCCCAGGAAGAGGGGTTTTGGCGCAGTGGGATAAATGGCTGTTTGGGACTCCTATCCGAGTCCCTGGAGTTGAGTCCTGCCTGTATTCCAGGCCTAGATTCCCACTGTGGCACACACTTGGGCAACAGGCCTTGGTCTGTGTGTTCCGGTCCGTGCCACCCTCATTGGAGACCTAGGTGGCGTTGCAGCTGGCATTAGGGGAGTGAAGTGAACAAGCCCATGAATCACCCTCTCTCTGTTCTCTTTTTGTGTCACTCTGCCTCTCAAATATCTTAGAACAAAATACCGTTACTGTTTTTGAAGAACTAGAACACAGAAATGTAAAACACAAGCATAAAGTTATTTAAAAGAGCCTTGCTCAAGATAATCACTTCAACACTGTGTTAAACAGAGTCCTCCCCGCTCTCTTTTTACAAATGATTTATTTGTTTTTATTGGAAAGGCAGGTATACAGAGAGGAGATACACAGAGAAAGATCTTCCGTCCCCTGGTTCAATCCCCAAGTGTCCTCAGTGGCTGAGAAGAGACAGCCCAAAGCCAGAAGATTCTTCCAGGTCTCCCACTCAGGTGCAGGGTCCCTAGGCTTTGGACAATCCTCAACTGCTTTCCCAGGCCACAAGTAGGGAGCTGGATGGGAAGTGGAGCAGCTGGGACATGGACTGGCACCACTAAGGGATCTCGGTGCATACAAGACGAGGGAGGACTTTAGCCACCAGGCCACTGCACCAGGCACTTCAGCATCTTTCTAAGCATACGTTGCTATACTGGGACATTGAATATCAATTTCCAGTTTTATGAAATTGTTGAATCAGAATGCTTACATAGTAACCCGTTATACTTCAGTGTGGTCTTATTACTAGTGTAATGTTCAGCTTTAGCTGCTGTAGAAATAGACAGCTTCTAGAATATGAAAGGAACAACCTCACTCGATTTACAAATGCACCGACCCTTAGGGAGTGGCAATCACAGTCCTATCATATTGGCATCATTTGCTGCTTAAATGTAAACAACGTCTTGTTCTCTCTTGCAGGCTGATCTCCTGGACGTTAACTTTTCAAGATGAAGTTGTTATTTGTGATCCCTTTTTTTATTTTAATTTCCTTGTGTGTCGAGGAGGCCTATTCCAAGGAAAAGTCTTCGAAGAAAGGAAAGGGGAAGAAGAAGCAGTACCTGTGCCCATCGTATGTCCTTCATGTCTTATATATTCTTTTATTCAGAAATGTTATACTTTCCTGAAAGGGAAGGACTTTATTGAAGTGAGTCTGAGTACACATTTACATCAGAACATGTGCCCATTTTTACTTTAACAGTAGAACCAGGAGAGCTTCTTATTGTGATGGTTCATTCTCAGCGTTAATGGGAAATGCATGCTAGGGGTTGATGTCATTTTAAAAAATAGAGAACTTTTCCATCAGCTGGCTCACTCCCCAAAGCCCACGTCATCTAGAACTAGGCCAGGCCACAGCCACGAGCCAGGAACTGCTTCTTCATCTCCCGTGGTGGGGACAGTAGACCACATGCTTGGGTTACTGGCCAGGTACAATGGCAGAAACGTGGATTGTAACCAGAGTATCTGGGACTGCAACCAGGGCCTCTAATGTGTGGGTTTTCTATGGGGCAACTTAGCCCACTGCATCACCACACCTGCCTTGTTTTGTAATTTTTCTTCCGTTACAAAGGAAGAAAAAAAGTTACCTTATGTTTCCACGGAACGTGCCATTTTTTATTAGATACTTGGATTTCAGATTTTGACTATAAAGCAGTTCAAATATTAATTTAAATTCCCAAATGAATACTCAGTAAAAATTAGGTGGCTGAGTTATAATCTTATTATTCAGTTTATAGAAATTACTGGTGCCTGACAGAAGAAAATCAATTTTCTATTGCAGTATTTATTTGTAAATGACTATGTTAGGAGACTAGAACATTTTTCAAAAAGGGTGTGATTAAATAAAAAACATGTAATCTAAAGCCAAGCACACGCCCCAAATGACAAAGTTTTGTGAATTAGATTCTGTTGAAGGAAACATTAATATTCATGGTAAAGAAAAACCAATAATATGTGCAGAAAGTCGTGCAATTGGATGGCATATATATGTATATGGCAAACAACTTTCATAGAATATAGTATCAAATAGACAACAATGGAAAATATGCAGTGACTAGGAATTAAAACTGATTTTTTATTGCAGGTCATTTTTAAATTATGAGTTCTTAAGTATCATATTGATTATAGATAACATTGTAACCCATCACCATCGTCATCATCATCATCATCATTATCATCATCATCATTATTTAAAGGTAGGTTACTACAGTTTTATAGCTGTTTTTGTAGGCGGAATGAAGGGACATTTGGGGAAATATGTTCTGTAAGGAAGCAAGGACCTTACCATGAGTAATTGTTTGCTTGTGGCAGATTCAAAGTTGGGAGACAGTGGCATGATCACACACCTCTAGCATTAAATTAACTTGCATAGGAAGGAAGCACTCTTGATTTCTGCCTGGAATAACCGGTTCATTCTGATGTTTCACATTGTGAGGTCTCAGCTGATTTACGGGGTGTCTAATGTGACGACCTGGGTGTGTATTTGTGTGTCCCTCCTGGACTTCTGCTCAGTCGGGTGTTGACTGTGGACAAGGCAGCCTCAGTACTCTTCTCGGTTGTGATTCTGTAGTACAATGAGATTAAAGTTTTAGCAGATTCAACTATGTCAGACCTTCTTTTTGTGAAAGGAAACGCTTAGTGCTTTGGATATTTCAGAAGTCTACCTCTAATGGATTCATGTGGATATAATGATAGAACCATCATGGATAACAGGTTGATGTGTGTGATGTAAAGCCATCTTGAGTTCATCGTTTTCCATGTGTGAAGAAGCCGACTGGGCTCTTCTTGTGCCCTCTGCTAACAGCCTTTCCTGTCCCCCTCAACCGTTAGGACCACAAGGTTCTGAAGTTGTCTACCTAGAGTGTCTTAGAGGCAGTCTATCTCATTTCAAGACTGTGCTATTCACTATCTATATATATCAACTGACTGTATACGTCTAGTATCTGTACTTACTTCAGATTGGTTTATAAAGATACATTTGGTAGACAAAAAGTGGACCAATTACAGGTATCTTTTGATGAATATGGAAGTGTTCACTTAGCTGATGAGTTCATTCCATAATCTTAGGCAGTAGTTAATCAATATTTTATCTTTAGATGTTCAATCATGGCTTTAAACTTTCATTGTTATTTTATTTGTTATAATTACGTGACTCATTAAGGTTTTACTTATTTTTTAAAGATTTATTTATTTTTATTGGAAAGTCAGATATACAGAGAGGGGGAGAGCCAGAGAGGAAGACCTTCCATCCAATGGTTCACTCTCCAAGTGGCTGCCACAGCTAGAGCTGAGCCAATCCAAAGCCAGGAGCCAGGAGCCAGGAGCTTCCTCCAGGTTCTGCATTGTATGGCATTTTCATAAATCAAGAGTTTTGTCTTAGCAGAAATATGCTCTTTTCTTTTAAAGGTAAGTCACTGCTGTGATACACCAAGGATAGATTATGTTTGCAAAAGTCCTCTCTAGTCCTCTAGTGTTACTACCTGCAATGAACCCATCCTTGCTCTGCTGGACATGGGGCTCAGATTGCTTCGAAACTGAATTTCTTTACCACAGACATTTTATGGAAATGTATACTTAAAATTCATGAAGTAAATTATTCTAATTTATGTACATACAAATAGCTCTTCTGAAACATGTAAATATAAAATTGTATTTCTCTAGCTCTGATTGGAATAACTCCATTAAATCACTAATAGAGTTTGTTGGAAACCTTGAAACATGTGACCTTCATTATTCCTCATGTAAGAAAGCAGTCGCAGGAATTGATGATTTTTCAGGGATTGATGATTCAAGTTCCTGTGATAGTGTAATAGGAAAGACTGAGTGGTTAAGGAGAGCATGTTTGATGACCTTTGCCTCAGCGTTTAACTCTGAGTTGATAACCCAGGGATCTTGTTGATACACCTGTTAGTGTCCTCTGCCTGTTTTGATCTGTAGTCGTTTTGGCTTAATCCCACAAATGGAGGTGTTGGCAGTTATAGTCTTGATTTTTGTCTGTGTGTGGCAGTTGGGGGTGGAATTTCATTGTGGTTCCAGAATTTTTTTTTTTTCCTTGACCTCTTTAGGACTTCTCTCCACTATCTCCGTCTTTTAATCTTAGCATAAAATTTTGACTGGTACTTTTTTTTTAAAATGGATTACATCACAAGGTCTTACGAAGAAAGGTACAAATAATTAGGAAGTGCAATAAGATAGAATCCACAGGAAAAACCCTTGTATTTGGCTCATATTATCTTATATTAGGGCACACATATCTGATATGTGTGGGTACAAAGAACTTTAGTTTATATTGGCTATCTTAGTTGACATTTCTTATTTCAAACTGAAAAATATTTTTTAAATATTTAGTTACTTAAATACTGTACTCATGCTAATATTAGTAACTTATTTTTTTATGAAATTTAACTGCTTTAAAAAATTTAACAAGCAGAGGGTCATTGGTGTACATTGCTAGGTATAATTTTAATGACTGTCTTAATGGAAGAAAGCAGGAATCTCATATCTGTTTCTGCATTTAGCTCGTCATATTGTTTTGACTGAAGTATGTGAACAAAGTACGGCCTCATGCAGACACATAATTGGGAAAAGAGAAAAGCATTTTAATAGGAATTTTATAATTGGGAATAGTCTCCTTTAATATCATGCCAAAACATAACAAGTACTCATTCCTAAAAAGATAATTGCAATGTGAAATCTGAAATCATATCATGAACATTTTATTGCATTGAAATCCACACATCTTTCTTGCCCCTTGAAAAACTTTTTTTTTTTTTTTGCTTAAAAATATGATTTTACAGCATCCTGCTTTGGTGTTTTGGGAAACATTGGTGTACTGGGTTACATAGATCTAATTGTTGACACATTTCATCATGCACTATCACCAGCACTTCCTATCTCATTGGCAAGCCTATAGGGATTGAGAAACTGTCAAACTCAGTATCCCAAATCTCCTCTTTTAAAACTCCATTTCGTGTTTGGAAATGCACATTTTATTGTTGGTAAAAAAAAAAAAAATCTTCTCAATTGCTGTTCTCTAAGTTGCATGTACCCTCCATCTACTTTTGAAAAAAAAAAGTTTTCCAAATATCCATGTCTGAATTACTGTACTGTTTTTATTGCGTTCCACGAGAATTATCTTCCCTGAAAATTATCTAATGTTGTAACCTCAGACGCTCAAGTGATTTTGTGAAATTCAAGTACAGTAGTTTGGCATTAGTAGAAATGCCATGTAGCTAGTTAGCATTTTATCATACAGAGTATTGAAAATGATGTTAAGTGTCAAAAAATTTCATAGAGTCAAAAGTTATTTCTTAGTTAGAAATATTGTTTAGGAATCAGGAATGCTGTCTTAATTTTTCTTTTTCACTGCTAGTGTATGCTGACAGAGAATACAATGGTGTTTGTGTGTATAGGTACCACATCATTGTGGTAATACATCAGTGGTTTTACCCACCGTTGCTACAAATGCCAACATGGCATGAAAACAGCAAATAGCTGTTTATTATTATTGTTGTGAAAATGGACCTGTTTCTAGGGGTGTCCTGAGAGGGTCTTGGGTACGTTAAGGGGGGCTGAGAACAATTACACTTTGAGAATTGTTATTCTTTAGGTTAGTCAATTTGTGATTCATGAATGTATATCCCTTCTCTGGGTTCAGCTCAGCACTGTATCTGCTGCATCTTTGGCTATAAAGTAGTTCTTGTGATCCTGGGACAACCTGTTCTCTTTGTGACCACATCCTGTTATTCATATGCTGTCATTTCTTCCAAGATTTCTTGTTCATCTTGACAAGCCTTGTTTTTGCGGATGCTTATTTACAAAGTGTTACTAGAATGGATTCCAAAAAAATATTAGAATGAAGATATTAGAAGGAAGATGTTAGGGCTATAAATATGAAAATTTGGGGGAATTTTAACTTGGAAGAAAGCACAAAAATGAAATGTATTTGGATTGGGTGAGTGGAAAAATTTTCACAAATGGGAGACAACAAAGCATATTTGTAAGACGATGAAAGGGTTCCCATCAGCAGAGAGGCAGAATTTACGATGCAGGAAGGAAAGACAATCGCTGGAG